GGTGTACTAGCTTGCTAATTAGGGTTTTAATTACCATTATTAATTGTTTGTTAGCATTAATAATTTCGGTCAATTTATCCTTCACTTTGGCCGAATTTAGAGTCTTAATTTTAGTCCATTAGTAGTTAGATATTTTCACCCTAAATGAAGGGCAAGGTCGTCCATTGGACATTCTAGTGTTTGAGTCCTGTAAGGCTATATATAGCCTAGGTTTTCATTCATTAAAGACAATTCAGATTTTATAAAATATTCGTGAGTTTATTCACTCTCTCTTGCCTCAAGAGAATTTCCTTTGAATACTTGAGAATTAATCTCAAGCTGTTCATCGAACTTATCAATCAAGTAGTCTCCTTGATTGTGGCGTTCTTCTATCTATACTTTTGGTTCACTAAATTTGCTAGTCTTGGGTCAAGGATTATCCTTAGTTCGTGACTCGTGATTCTAGAAGGGTCAAAGTTCCGCAAACCCACTCAACTTGGTGTTCATCTAGATCCGTCGCACATCAGTAGTAAATTCCATATTTTATGTTCCCTGCCCCGCTTTCTATATTTTATGTTCTAATGTACGTTTGAAAGATATCAATGGAGAGTAGTAAACTCTTGAGGTTTTCTTGAGTTGGCAAATAGGGAAATCGAATCCCCTTTCTTCCGTTTCCCTTCCTCTGGTTTCCCTCGTTTATCAAGAAAAATATAAGCCGAATAAAGTGTGGACAATAACCATTTTTAGTTGCATTTCTTCAACATGTTTGTGAACTACAAGAAAAATATAAGTTGAATAAAGTGTGGAAAATAACCATTTTTAGTTGCATTTCTGCAACATGTTTGTGAATCACTATATAAGGATAGCCAATCTACATCGCCTTTGGAAACACATAAGCGTGAACAATTTCCTGGGAACGAATCACAAATTCGCAACAACTAGAGAAAACTCTCACAATAGATAAAAAGTAACCAATGATATATCTTAATTGGAGAAAAAGCCTAATTACAAAAGCTCTAACTATACCTATTTATAAGATATAAAAGTCCTGCCCTAAAAAGGAAACAAAACATACTTGAAACCTTAAACCAACAAAGCTATGTATTTGATTGGATGATGCTTAGCGCCAGACATTGAACCGGTCAGAGCACTAGACATCATCTGTCCATTATTCCCAATAATAATAAAAACCTTATTGAACACATAAAATAGCAATAAAACTACCAATAAAATATTATAACTATCCACATTATTCAATGCTAACTAACTCTCGAGCAGTCCTAATGATACAAAACAATAGATTGAAGAACCAGGGGTTCTTTATTCTATATCAAATTCCCCACTTAAAAAGAAGTCGCCCTCGAGTTTTATGAAAATCTTGATACATGAGCCAGACAGCCATCCAACAATCCATCCACGAATTTTATATGGCCCAAATTTGTCCATGAACTACTTCTTTGCTGCATCAAACATTGTGAAGAAATTTACCAAATTGAATCATTGTTCTCCTATGTCGAAACAAATCTAATTATTTTTCCCCTATTGCATTGAAGCTTAATCGCACACTCTTGACAGGGAAATCTACAAAAAGAGAAAAATTTTCAAAAATATTTTCTTTGCCAAGGTTACTAGTATCTTGGCTCGTAAAAACAGCTACATCAACCAGGTCACCAGGCAAGAAGTCCATCGAGCTCGGATTTGTAGGTGAATCGTTTGCAAAAAAGTACGAGGACTTCTGAATCTTTAAATTCATCCAAGGTCTCGACCTCTAGAGTTGGAAGATCTATATCCAAGTCGCCTGTGGCAAAGGAGTAAGGAACAAACTCAAATTCATCCTCATCTGGTTTGGAAATATACTCATCCTCCTCGAACATGGGCTCCTGGACTATTGGTCGAGCCTTACCACAACTAGTGGCGCTGTAACTTCATGGATCTGATGCCAATTTCAACGGCCCTAGGATTAGGGCTTTCGTCTCGAAGAACTCTTCTCATAAGGTTGCTCCCTATAGGATAGTGGTAATCATGATAATCGAATCGCCACTTTTGGGGCAATCCTTCACTACAATTGCCTCTGTCATCACGATCTCTCCTACCTTGCAAGCTAGCCCCTCGTAGCATCTTGATTACTTCATTGATTATTCTCTTAATACAATCTACACGAGTGGTTGATGCTTGTGGTTTCGGCAGATGTAACATAATCCCTAACTTCGTCATTGAGATTAGGGTTACAGTCCCTATTATTAGTTGTCAACCCAGGAAAAACCCGCACTAATATTAACTAGTACGGAAGCGTGAACTAAAGAAAAAGTTTCAACGAATAATTTCCTGAAAATGAATCACACATTTTCAAGAACTAGAGAAAACACTCACAATTGTTAAAAAACCAACCAACGATAATTGAAGAAAAAGTCTAATTACAAAAGGCCTAACTATGCCTCTTTATACGATATAAAAGTCCTATCTTAAAGAGGAAACAAACTATACTTAAAACCCTACAAAAGTCCTATCCTAAAAAGGAAACAAACTATACTTAAAACCCTAAACGAAACAAAGCTACGTATTTGGTTGGAACGATGTCTAGCGCTCGACATAGGACCAATCATAGGACCTAACATCATTTGTTCATTATTTCCAATAATAATAAAAGCCTTAATAAAAACACATAAAAATGGCAATAAAACTACTAATAAAATATTATGACTGCCTACATTATTCAATCCTAAGTTACTCTCAGACAATAATAACGATACAGGACAATGGATCGAAGAAACTGGTAGTTCCCCATTCTATATCACTTGCATTTCTTCAAGCTGTACATCAGTTGTTCTCCCTCATCTTTGTGCACTAGTGCGGGAGAAGGTGTGTTGGCCATTGCAAGATTAAAGTTTAAAATCATAATAGTATAGTAATTCACAAAATTATTATTAATGTGTAGACTTTGTATGCAAAACTTGGACGCCAGGAAAAAGACTTGAAATTTTAAGAATTCAATTTAGTCATAGGAAAAGAAAAATAAAAAGATAAAAGGTAAATATACTGTCCAATGGTAGTTAGGAACTTTGATTTATCTTGCCTTAGATGATAAGCTATTTATAAACGAAAATTATTCTTGTTCTAGAATGGGAAAAATGCACTTTTTATCCCCAATGTTTAAGGTGTTAACCAATTTCGTCTCTAAAGTTTCATTCCAAACATATTTCATCCTCATAGTTTTATAATTTTGGCCAATTTCATCCCTAAAGTTTATGTAGAACACATTTCATCCTCATAGTTTCATAATTTCTACCAATTGAGGACAATTAAATGATTGTTAACCAATTTGTACATAATATCATCACATGTCCCATTAGTAATTGTATTATTAATACTTAATTCAGTTATTGGTTAAATTATAAAAATAACAAGTGTTTTTAGATAGGAGACTATCTCTTTGTTTTTTAAAATTATGATATTATGTATTTGAAATAAAACAAATAGATGATTGAAAAACGTGTGCATGAAGCAATCGTTGGTGCAAAATACATAGCAACAAAACAAAATTTTGTAAATAAATGACAATCCAAACCATTCTTTCTTTCACATCAATATTTTTCTCCAATTAGTTGTAATGGGGTTGTTCGACATTTTTTTCCCAATTAGCTATAGTGAGGTTGTTTGTTTTCCACGACTTCTTTTTCTTTGGATTTTCTTGTTCGATTGTTATTAAGAAGAAAATAATGGTGGCTAAAAATTTCTTAGTTTTTTTTTGTACTAAAATGAGAAAGTGAATTAAAAAAGATTTTTAAACTTTTTGTTGATCCGGTGGTTTTTTAACTAATCAGCATGCTGTGGTCAAGTAGCAATATTCTATTTAAAATCCTTGACAATCCATCAATTGTCCTCAATTAGCCAAATCTATTAAACTATGCGGATGAAATGTGTTCGTGTGAAACTTTAAGGATGAAATTAGTCAAAATTATAAAATTACAAGGATGAAATATGTTGTGCATAAAACTTTAGGGATGAAATTGGTTAACACCTTAAATATTAGGGATGAAAAGTACATTTTCCCCGCAAGAATCAATATAAAAGCACAAATGAGAAGATAAAAAAAAAAAGAAAAAGAAACTTAACGCATGCATAAAGCAATATACATATCAGACTGGATCATGTCTCTATTTAATTTCATGTTATTAAGAAGGATTAAATATTAGTTGGAACGATAGCATAAGATTCATGTTTTATTATGATTTTAAAGGCCTTTCTAACAAACGATGGTTTCTTTTCCGTCCCACAATGTCACTAAAATGTATATGTTTATTGGCAAACACCATGCATGGGGAGGTTTAGTTCTTCGATACATGTATATACTAGCATGGGTCTAGTCGTGCTATGCACTGGCCTACCCACTGATATGACCAACTAAATTATGGATAAAAAAATTTTCTATTTATTGAGTTTTTTATTTTTTGGATTTGCTGTAACAATGAGGATAATTTGCTAAAATATCATAATGTATATATAGGTTCAAGAGGTAAATAATATGCAAATCACAACCATACATTACAGAAACTAAGTCATTCATGCCTTAGTATAATACATACTTCAGTGCTAGCCACAGTTACATATTAAGAGGCTTAAATAAGCTTTATTGCCTATTGAACTACAACATTGTTGGTTAAACTATTAACAGTTATATTAGGATCCATTACTTTTTAAGCGAAAAGAATAATGGATCATAATATAATTCAAAACATATTGTCTAAGCAATGGAGGCAGGCACCGAGGTAATTAACAAAAGATTTAACAAAAGTACAGAATTAGACCATATTAGACTTGCTTAGCTTTAGCTTTATTTGCTGGACTGTCTTTGATATTGCCAAATGGACTATACTGTTTTGTAACTTCTTTGGCAAACTGTTCAGGAGCCTTTGTTGCATGTTTAGCAGGTGTGTCTGCTGGTAAAGCTTGATTTTGAGATGGACTTTTGGAAACTCAAGGCTTCTTTTCACTCCACTATTTATAGATATGTGGCTTTCTTTTCAAGAACTGGCCGCAGCAATTTCTTCAAGTACCAACTTTGTGGTTGATGTGACTATTTGATCCTTTGATGATTTTTCTGCATGCACTGCTGATGAAGTGCCAAGTGCAGAAGAAACTTCAATGTTTTCTGGAAGTGCTAGTGGAAGTGGATTATGTGATAGTTCAGCTGCAGTGTAAGTGTTAATAACAGTATTCTTTCTTTGGAGTTGACCTTGAAAGGGAGACTCATAGGTTTTCAGAAAATAGACCACTGTGTACTTCTTCAAGCTATCATTAAGTTCAGTGTCTATGCCAAAGCCCTGCACCAGAAAAATTTTTTGGTCGGGTTTAGTGAATTGTTTTGTATGTATATTTGTATTTATGGTTGAATATAAGACAGAAAATTTTTACTTACATCTTCTTATGCTTGCTTAAGTTGCAATGGAGTGAACTCAATCACTTTTTTAGCATCTTCTCCAGATATAATGCAATGTATTGAGCTCGAAGCATTAGTTATAATAATTGGATTACGAGCCCTTTAATTGAGTGAAGGAATTAAGATTAATGTTTGGTGACAAATCGGAATAATGTTTAATTTAGAAGTATAAGCTCATGGTCTAACCTGAGTTCAACTTCACTTTGCTATTTTCATGAAGGACAATGGATGATCCAGTCAATGTCGACATTCACATTTCTGTGATAATTCACATAAGCAGTACTCCAATATTTGGTGAATGCATATGCAAGTTTGACATTTCCTTGCACCCAAGTTGTCTTTTGCTGAGTGAACCAAGCATGAATGGTATTTGAATGTAAGCTAGAGACAAAATAGTTATATTTAAGTGAAATTTATAAATAACAAATAGCACTTACAAATAGAAATAATGCTTGAAAATTGTTGATTGCTTTGATATCTTCTTCATTTGGAGGAGGAAGTACATAGTTTGGATCATTGTATGTTTTAGCATCAAGCAAATTTTTTATTTTTTTCCTTGTTCAAATTATACCTGAATGGTTATGTTTAGAGTACAAGTACAAAATTTACCAGTGAGATAATTATGGTTAAAAATAAAAAAAAGATTGTGTTTACCATTGCCTGAAAGAGAGGTCGTCTAGTAGTGGAGGATTTATTAGAATGCCAGACGAATACCTTGTAGTGAATGACAGAGCTGTAAAAATGATGAAAATTTTTAGTAATATAACATATCAAGTATTTAGAAGTCAAACAGTAAAGTAATCATAATGTATAATGAAAGTTTTACTATTGAATGTGGTCGCTTTGACGTGGACAGCTATGATTAAAGGGGTAGTGCTAATCATGTTTGCTATTTTTCTCCCTTCATCATGTTCAAATTCATTCCAAAGAGTCATAAGCATGAGTCTTTTCTTGTCAGGCATAACAAAAAATTGTAACTGCGATCATTAATCTAAAATACCTTAATAAAAAAGTAGTATTCAGTTTTGATTTACTCTTCATTCACTATTGTAATGTCTCTAGAAGAACAATCTGGATCTGCCTGTTTCACTGGTAATGCTTGAATCACAAAGCCTTTAATATCTGAAATAAAAATGTTGATATGAGTGTACATAATCAATAAAATATCAAATGATTGTCAAGTACAATAAAAAATAATGTAAGAAAAATTATTACAAAGATGATCTAAATCAGCATATTTGTGTACATCAGAGAACTTTGTCAGCTCAAATGTACAAGGTAACATAGGCGGCATAGGTTCAGTATAATTTTCAACCAAAGTCTTGTAGTTCAAAATCCAGGAGCATTCATAGGTCCCAACTCTGTATGTTGGGTCAACAGCAATGACAGTTGCATTAGAAACATAATATCTTTAATAAGGCTGGAGAAAATTGCTGAAGACCTTAATGTGTTGCTCATAGATCACAACAGAAACTTTTGTTCCCTGATTAGGATTATAGAAAATTAGTTTTATATATATCATGAGTTAAAACCATAAGTGTCATGTTTATGGCTAACGTATTTATCACACAGAAATTAAAATTATAGGTATGAATACTTTAATAGTTAGGTAACTATTCATTCACAATGAAACTATAGTTTTTTTTTTTTTTTTGATCCACCACGTAAAGTTTTTTTGGTTTGTACATTCTAACAATTGAAATTTGATAGATAATATAACACAAATTTTTTCTTTCATGAATGTTTGTCCTAAGCAAATGGTAGCTAGAAACTGTTTGACATTCTTTTTTTTTTTTTTTTTGGTTAAGAATGCTTTTTATTTAAACAGAAAGACGACTACATGGACTAACGGGCAAACAGCCTACGCACGTCCTATCCTAACACGCCTAACCGAAGGCACCCCCAGTCTATTTAAACGACATTCGCCCTGGGCCACCGAGGGAAGAGTCTGCTCAGCAGAGTAAACTCGAAGCTGCTCTTGTGGGTGAGAAACCCCTACATTGGATAATATATCAGCAATCTTATTCGCCTCTCTGTAACAATGCTCAAACTGAACCCCCTCCACCAGGTGCCAGATTTGCTCCACCTCTCTCCTAACAGACCAAGGACAAAGGCATCGCCGCTAGAGTATGTCAATTAACAACTTCGAATCCGATTGCACTATCCTGGGAAGAAGCCCCTTACCTAAACACACTTGAACACCCTTGAACATGGCCAACACTTCAGCATGAAGACTAGTAGCCTCCCCCAGGTAAGCCGAGAAAGCAACCAATAACTGCCCAGCGGAGTCTCTAAGTAAGCCACCTCCACCACTCGCACCCGGGTTTCCCTTAGAACACCCATCCGTATTGAGCACCATATCTGCTTGACCCCCTGCCCTCCATCGAACAACTCTAAACTCATACCGCACAGTCGATTGGGCTACCCTTTCGTAAAACAGCGAGAAATCACTCACATGGACGGCCAAACTAAACTGAACCTCAAATGCCAATTTGACATCCTGGAATACGGCTTCACATAGCTCCTTTACACGTACTCTAGCCCTCTCAAAAACCGCTCTACACCTTGCCTTCCAAATGTTCCAGCAGATAAAAACTGGAACAATGTCAAATACGAATCTCTGCTTGGCCCTCGGAGTAGGAAGCATCCACCACTCAAATAAATGTGCTCGGAGACTGTCGTACGACCTACCAATACCACATATGTTCTGAAAATACGCCCAAACCTCCATTGGAATCTGTCCCGCAGAAAACACATGCTCCAGTGTCTCTCCAGTAGCAAGCGCACAACAACAGCACTTTGATGCCAACTGGAAACCCATCTCCCTCAAGACGTCATCCAAAGGTAGCCGCCTCATGAGCAAGCGCAGCATGAACAAGGACACTCTCAAAGGTATCCGAGGATGCCATATGCGAGAGAACACTAGTGACCTGTTGCGACCTTGGCAGACCTCCTGGAAGGCTGCCGCCAAAGTGAAGAGCCCTGACTGCGTCGACCTCCAGATCACTTGATCTGTCCCCCTTCCACTCAGTGTCGGTGTCTGCATCACCTCATTCGCAATGGATGGCGGCAGAATTTGTGATAGCCGACAATTATCCCAGGTGCCATTGACCAATACATCGGAGAACGAAAGACCTAGAACCACCAAGGCTCGAAGAAAGAGAGGCCCACTCCCCAACCAATTATCATACCAGAAATCACAAGTCCCATCATTGAGCAACCAAACCATGCATAATTCCGCCTGGCGGCTCACATTGATCATGCGCCTCCAAGTTGGTGAGGCAGCCCGAGAACTAACCACCTGACAAGGATGGACCCCATTACAATACTTTGCCCGCATGAAGGTTGTCCATAGAGATGACCCTGTATGCAAACCCCACCAAAGCTTACAAGAAAAGGCATTGTATACATCACTAACCCGCCGGAAACCCGCGCCACCTTCCATCACCGGGTAACAAAGATGAGACCACCGAATCCAATGATGCCTAGTCTGCTCGGTCGAGGACCCCCACAAGAAATTTGCGCAGAGACGCTCAATACTCTTGAATGTCGCCACTGGAATAACTGCAGCAGACAAAAGATGAGTTGGAAGAGACGAAAGAACATGCTTGATTAGCACTAACCTGCCTCCAGGCGACAAAAGTTTAGACCGCCAAGAAAGAATCCTTGCCGAGATAGCATGACACACCTCCCCAAAGTACAAGGATTTGCACCTACCAATGTATAACGGGAAACCCAGGTACCGGACCGGAAAATGCTGCCTAGAAAAGCCGGTAATCCGCTCAACTACCCTCCGCCGGGCGGGCGGCACCGACGGATGCACTAAGTACCCACTCTTCTGAGCACTCACCAACTGCTCCGAGGCCAGTTGATACATGTCCAATACCCGCATAATCTCCTTCAAAGAGCTAGAAGAACCATTAGCAAAAATAAGCACATCATCCGCAAAAGCCAAGTGGGTGACCGACGGACAACCCCTGGGTACCGTGAAACCTAAGAAACCCGATTGTGCAGCAAGACTATTGAGCCCCCGGGATAACACCTCCGCGCCAATGACAAATAAGGCTGGTGACAACGGATCTCCCTGACGGATCCCACGACTCGATTTGAAAAAACCATGAGATGCCCCATTAATGATGACGGAGAACCAAACATTCGACACTAACCTCCAAACCATGTCAATGAGCCTCTCACCAAATCCAAATTTGCGCAATACCCTGACAATGAATATCCACGATACACGATCATACGCCTTTGCCATGTCAAGTTTTAGCGCTACATTTCCCCCCCTAGCCTTCTTCCTAATCCCTGACATAAGCTCCTGAGCAAGAAGATAATTCTCTGTTATGTTCCTGCCTTTGACAAACCCCGTCTGTTGCGGAGACACAATCTTGGGCAAAATACTTGCTAACCTATCCGCCAAAATTCGAGAGAGCATCTTGTTGAAAAAATTGCACGAACTAATCGGCCTATACTTAGAAAAGTCCTGGGGGCTTGGCACCTTGGGAATTAAAACAATGGATGTAAAAGTTACGAAGCGAGGCAGCTCCGCCCCACAAAAGAAACTCAATACAGCATTATAAACATCCTGTGCAATAACATCCCAAGCGAAAGTAAAGAACTGACCTGTGAAGCCATCAGGGCCTGCAGCACTATCCCCATCCATCTCAAATACCACCCGTTTCACCTCCTCCCTAGTTGGATCCGCATCAAGAACCGCCCTGTCTGCTTGTGACACCATATGAGGGATTAAATGCTCCCAATCACCAGCTGACCCCCCGGAGGCCGAGAACAAATTTGAGAAGAATCGCACAGCCTCATTGGCGATCCCTTCGTCATCTTCAACCCATATGCCATTCTCATCCTTCACTCTATGAATCGCACCCTGCACCCTCCGTTGCTGAACCGTGGCATGGAAATATCTTGAATTTCGATCTCCGTATCAAAGCCACTTTACCCTAGCCTTCTGACTCCAAAACTTTTCTTCATTTAACAACGCGTGTCGTAGCTCGGCCTGAGCTTTACTCAGCTCAACCTGCGCCTCCATCGAGTCATCCTGCTCCGTGCGGGCCTCTGCTACTAGCACATTGGCTTCCGCCCGCTTAACAACCTCAAACACATTCCCAAAACCTCCCTTATTCCAGCCCTGGATGGCACGCCTGGCACGCAACAGCTTGGAGCATAGTATCTTTAACGGGGAGCCCGAGGTCTCTGCTTGCCAAGCCTGGCGAATTACATCCAACAATCCTGGATTCGACGTCCAAACATTTAAAAACCGGAATGCCCTCGGCCTGTTGTCCATTCGCGATGTCAGCGAGATCTTCAGCGGCGCATGATCCGATGGATGACGGGCCAAGTGGACCACCGAGATAGACGGAGCACTCTCAGAAAACTCACCATTGATTAGCACCCTGTCCAGTCTCTTCCAGATACGTGTGTGCCCTCTCCGGTTATTACACCAAGTGAAACTGGATCCCGAGAACCCCGCATCAAACAATTCGGCCCCCTCCATGAATGACAATAACTCCAACCCCTCAGATCCTGCGAAAGGCCTACCTCCTCGCTTCTCACTTGGGTCCGCAATGACATTAAAATCTCCGCACACGCACCACGGCCTCGAGCTGGGCTTATCGGCCTTTAAGTCTTGCCACAGCACCCTCCGCTCCCCCAAGGAGCATTTGGCGTGCACAAACGAAAAGCACAGGGACCCATCCATCCAAGGATGCTGGACCGATATCGTGACGTGCTGGGCTGAACTACCTACTACAACACACACTAATGGAGTACTAAAAAATACCCATATATCAGCTGACAGGTTCACAACTACCGAATCAAAGGGCAATCTGACTTTAATTAAATCAATACGTGACACATCCAGTTTGGGCTCACATATTGCAACAAATATTAAATTATGTATACGAATTAACTTTAGCAAGCTTCTGAGGTTGGGAGGTTTCACAACCCCTCTTATATTCCAAAATAAACCATTAATCATGGGGAAAAGGTAGGGAAGAATTTTGAGAGTGCATTACCGCAGACTGAAGCTGCCTGTCCGACGGGCCCGGAACCCGCACCCCTTTCTTCTTCGTCTGCTTGGTGCCGTGATCCATCACTCTGGACTGGTCAATATTCAGCCTGAGCACGGTGTCCCCCATGCCCGAGTGACACCCCAAATCCAGGCTATCCGTCTCCTCTTCCTCCTCCCCAGGGCTCCCGACACAGCTCAGGTCTTTGTGCTGGCCCATCCACCATTCCTGCACTCCCCAACTCCGCTACCTGACTGGCCTCACAGGTAAGCTCTGCCGTGAGTTCCCCAATATTAGTAACAGCCCGCGACTGCACAGCTGCAGCCGCACCAGGCCTGGCTCCGTCCCTCTGTATGCGTGGCTCTGATCCAGCGCCCAAGTTGTCCGGAACCCACGGCTCTTTTTGGGCCACCGCCAGCTGCATCTCCGAAGCAGCATGCTGGATCTCAGCAGGCTGCTGCCTGTGGCCCTCTATCTCAGCCCCCGCCACCATCAGTGGTGGTACCGTACTATCGTTGTCATTATCCTTACCACCCTCTTCCTCCTCGCAAGACCGCGTGTGTGCAGGAGTGGCCTGCCCAAAGACCTCAGGCTCGGCGGCAGGTGAGCGAACGCCCGAACTCTTCCCCTGCCCATCAGATTTGGCCAACTGCTCCTGCAACTCCCCGCCCTGAATTGGATCTGCTACTCCTTTGCCACTGGCCCGCCCTTGGATCTGATACACCTGCCGAGTTGTGGCCTTTCCCCTTTGACGTGGGTTTTTGCCTCCAGATGGTCTTAAACCCGGGTTTTTGTTGAAGCAGGCCTCCTCCAGATGACCAACCCGCTCACAAACTTTGCAGAATGCTGGCCAGTTCTCCACCTCCACCGGTTGCCAAAAGCCATAGTCGTCATCCCCTATGTAGACCCGCTTTGCTGGCTCTCTGGATACATCCATCTCCACCAGAACTCTTGCCACAGACGGCCTGCGTAAATCTGAGGTTGCCGAATCCACCTTGAGGACGCTCCCAAACGTGGCCGCCAGTTTGAAAATCTGGTTTTTCCCAAAGAAAGGGATAGGCAGGCCAAGAAACGCAGCCCAGACCAGCACAATTGAGGGCTCCTGGTTACTCTTGAAATCCAGCGTCCATTTTGCTACAACCATTGGTGCGTTTTGGATGAACCATGTTCTGCGCAAAAACAATCTGGTGTAATCCTCTTCCAAGACCGGTCTGATGAGAATATGGCGATGATCCAGCAGGTCCACAGCACACTCCCCCTTTAGGCCAAGAGAAACAAAGAACTTGCGTACAGCTTCCATTGAGGGCCTGAAAGTGGGGAACCTCCCCACCAGAGCATTCCTGTAAGGCGCAGCCAGGGAAACCATCTCCGGCTGCGAGAGACGTAGCGCTGGTTCCCCACGGAAAAGTGTAATTTCGCCGATGCCTTCAGCATCCACTGCAGCAGCTGGTCTACCCGCCACCACCGCCGCGAAGCTTCTGGCGTGACCATCACCCAGATCCGGCGGCTTGGGATCCGCCATGCACATGGGAGTTGTCTAATTTCCTAACCCTAGGTTCTCTCCTATTTTCTTGGAGCCCTCTCCAGAAACCGTAACCCTAGGTCTGAAAATTTGATCAAACTATAGTTGTACTATCATAGTACGTGTAAACTTACATGAATACTAAGGATTTTTTCGTAAACAAATATATCATTTTTCATGTTCTAATATATGAATGCAATAAGCGGACAAATCGTCAAATGAACTAGAAATGTTTGTAAAGAAAATTTAAATATAATTTGCATTTGAAAGGCCGATAATATGTGTGACATAATTATATTTTTTACATGAAAAGTATTTGCTAACCTCAGCCTCTGTCAGCAGAAAGCACATAATTTGCCTAGGCGAAACTTCACGAGTCAGTTGAATGTGGCTTACGTGAATCACTTGTACTAGAATAGTCCATTTTTTCGCTCCTTTCTAATTGTCAAGCACTGAAGATATATGTCTAGGCATGATGACCTATATTCGTAGAGAAATTAGATAGTCAATTAAACAAAATAAAAAAATTCTAAGCAAAAAGGGCAATGAATATTGAAACCTGGTAATGTAATTTGGGAAGTTTCAAGAATTTCTTTATATACTATATTTTTAGTATGATCAATACATGATTTATCAAAATAAGTTAGTCTTATAAGCACTTTTACAGCTAAAGTTGTTTTGGCCCTTGAAAGTACAACATATAACTAGCCATGTGAAAACACAGGCTCTTTCAAATAAATACCAATAAAATCTAATGTTTGGCCTTGTGCTTTATTTATTGTCATTCGAAAGCACAAATGAATTGGAAATTGTGTTCGTTTATGGAACTAGATATTGTTCATCACTTGGTGGCTGCATGGAAATTCTATGTATAAATGTGAGAACTCGAGAAAATCAGGTGTGTGCTTTGCATTTATTTTATTTTATTTACCTTGATATTGGAAATATTACATATAACGAATAAGTGGTTAAATTAAATGTCTAATTGAATTTCTATGAAATCGAGAATTAGAAATATCCTAAATTGGTGTAGAAAAATTTTTATGAATAAAATAAACACATGGTATGTATATTGTAAATTGTGTCATTTGCATATATTACTAGACACGTAGCATATATTATACAGTTGACTAAATTATATGTCTAGTTGATTTTCCTTTAAAACCGAATGTATGAAAATCTCCTAGATTAATGTACGAGAATTTTGTAAGGGTATATAAATTAGAACAAATGAAGTTTGGAGTCAATGCATGAAATAATAAAACCGCGGCCCCTTAGTGAGCAAATAAGTTAATACTAATGACCTAACTACCCCTGAATCTTGGTTAAACTACTATGCAACCTAAGAAAGCCATCTTCTGGAAGACAACCGAGAGGAAACAAAGAGAAAGAAATTTCTAGTTGGGCGGTGACCGAGAGGAAAGAAACACAAGGCAGCTTTCTTTCTTTCTTTCCAAAAACGGAATCGAGGGGGGTGGAACTAAGAGTGAGGGAGAGAAAATTTGGTTAGCTTCATCATCTGCTGATCATAATCAAGAAGAGAAAGGCAAGGAAAATAGGAGGGATAGCTGGTGCAGACCTTGAGGAAACAAAGCTGGGAAAATTTGGTCAGTCTGCAATTTTTAACTCTTAAAGGAAAGAGGTAAATTCTCTGTGATCAATACTTATTTATTGAGTATAAATGAATATATATATATATATATATACAAGCTACAAGATAAGTTTTAGCAGAGGAAATGAGCTTCGATTGAAGAAAAATTCTGGTTTGAGATTAAAATGATTATTTGACTGAAGTTGTAGCAACCGGGAGTTAATTACATGAATTTCAGCTCATTAGCAGTGTAAAAATGGAAAATATAATATAAGAAAAGCATGTAATATGGTTATCTCAGGTATTATAAGAAGTTTAGTTGAAGAAATTTGGGAAAAGTTGGAAATTGGGAGGACCGATGGAAGATCCTTGCTGGAATTTTTCCAGCTTCATCCGAGTGGGGGGGGGATGGAAAAGTTTCAGCTATCTTTGATGAATAATGACTCTAAAATTCTGTGTTAATCTGTAATATGTTGTATAACATCTTGATTTCTTCATGCATGAGAGGTTTGAGCATAAAATGGAGGGATCTAGTAGAAGAAACTCGTCTTTAGGCATTACTTGCTACTACGAACCAACTTTATAGCCGAGAGAGGATATAAATCTTGGTTCAGCTTTTCTCTTGGATTTTTGGCTATAAATTTCTATGTTTTGCTTAAGATGGTCTGTAGTTGAATGATCATCCCCTGCATATCTAGTTGGAGCATGAAACTGAAAAGAAAATTATGAGAAAACACCACATGTTAAACTGCTATATTGCTGCAAATTGTAATTAGTTGATGACAGATTGTTGTGCGTAGCTTTTGGGTTGAATAATTTGTTGAAACTAGATGCCATTTGCCTTGGTATATGCTGGACTGAATGTACTTTAAATATTTAGAGCTTTAAGCAAGTGAAAGAATAGAGTTTTCGTCGAAAGCTTGAAGTAGCGTTACTAGTTTTGGTTGCTGACCGAGAAAATGAAACAGATTGTGCTTCTGACCGTCCCTTTTTGGCCTTGAAAACGCGATAACTGGATGTCGATGTCTTCAGAAGAAATGTAGGTCTATGTCTTAGTTTCGAAATGCTAAAAATTCACCTCAATCCGATAAGCGTAGCTCCAGTTGTGATCAAAACATTAGAGGGTGGCAAAGCTGCCTTTCTTGTTGCTTTCCTTTTGTTCCCGGATGCACTTTGCTTTGATAATGGCCGTGAGGAACCAACTTTGAACCAGCATTTCCTCTAATTTCCAACTTTGTAAGCTTTCATAAATGATAGCTATGGTTACCCTGAGATTTAATGGCTATATACAGCTCCACAAGTAGAGTTAAACTAAAGCAAATGAGGGGAAAACTCATGATAATTATGTACCTAAATTGGCTTCTAATTACTTAATATTGTCTTCACAAATATTTTAAAGACTATAAAATTTGAGGGACTGGTGTAGTGGAATAAAATTTAACTTACAAATAACCTAGAGTTTAATTAATTAAAAAGGGGACCAATGAAGTACTCCTAAGCCGTAATCTTAGAATCTTGAGTGGAAAATGATTCAATCCTAAAATAAATATCTTATAAATTATTAACTTGGGAAAACAGGTATAATTCTTGATTAAAACAATAAAGTCAATGAGTTTCAAAATAAAATGATAAATGAATATTGAATATATTATATTTATACTTTAAGGTCAAACTAGAATCTGTTTTAGCCTATACGGAAGAAATGAAACGTTTGCTTGTCTTAATCCTTGTACATTAGATTGGAAATGAGTTAATCTTAGCTCAAGTGTTTTATATGATATTAAAATTTGGTGTATATGTACATTAACCTTGTTTTAAAGCTACCAAACTTAATAATCTTGAAGACAAACGCAAGGAAAGTTGCTAGATTTTGGTGTTTCGTTTTATAAGCTTAGAAACTTGGGTTTTAGTTACTTAAACCTTAAATTATGTAAGATGAGTGGTTGTATATAAAATGAATATTCATTTTAGAATTATTAACTTGTACCAGGAAGTAGCCGTGAACCAGGAAACCAACTCGAGACTCGAGAGTAGTCATTTGAATCTTTGGTGAGTGTTTTCCGAATTTATGTGTTAAACTGCTTATGTGTACCTAAGTGCAATTATATGGCAAATGTGCTTATTATGAAATATTGCTAAGTGATTCATTGTGAAGTGTTTTCAATTGTCCCTCGCCTTCTAAGTCGAACATGTACTTTATCGCACTCGACTTAGTTGAGGTTGAAGGTTGATAATTGATCAAGTGATATTGTAAGTGTGCATGACTGTAAGCCATGTGTATACCTTATCACACTAGCTGAATTGGGCCCCAAAACCCTCTGCTCAACGGACTATTCAAGCCAGCAAAGGGCTTGGTCGGGTAGGACGGTAGCTTTGGGTAAGTGTTTCGGTATACTCGAGTAGTACCACGGAGTAGTAGATTACTGATATTGATATGGCCATCCAAGTGAGGGAAGTGTTTATTATTTTGGAGGTTATAAGGAGGAGTTCAGTGGAGTGTGTAGTGCATTGAAGTGGCTCTAATGCGAGCACCGTATCCTTTTAAAAGTGATTGTTTGGTGATGTGCTTCCTCAATTGCTTAATGAAAGTGATTGTACAGTGAAATGTGCACTACTCGCTTAATTGTATTGATTTAAGTGCTTATTGATTGTTGCTTGAATGGAAACCTCACGAGCGTAAGCTCACCCTTTTAGCTTTGTTTTCCTTACAGGAGTTGGAGATTGAAAAGTGATTGGATGGAATTGGAAAGTTGTTTTGGAAAATTCCATCACTATGCGTATATATTGGAGTCACGTTTTCTTTTGTATTTTAAGATGGTTGAATCTTCTGTTTTGAGTTGATGTAATATTAAGAATGGATGTTTAGAACGTGTATTTTGTTTCTTTTAGTGGACAAATCTATGTTTCAAGCTGATTGGAGTGATACTTAAGAGTGAATGTTCAGTTGTTCAATGATAATGTTATCTCTGAAGTTAATGTAAGTGAGTGAGTCCTGGCGAGAGCCAGGTAGGCGATCCGCTAACTTCTAGGGTAGGCCCTAGGAGAAGGTGGGGTCGTCACAATAAAAACCTCTTTGCCACAAAAATCACCAACTGCAATTTTAGCACAAATAACATTCTTACTCAAACTCTTTATTATGAGTCTGGTTCCATTGCATAATATTTCAGTAGGATCAAAATTTCTTAAAAGAACTATTAGGGCATTGGGTTTTAACAGCAACCTATGTGGAGGTAAGCTACTAAGTGTAAGAGTATTCAGGAGATCAATATACTCAGACTGATGATTTTGATTCAACGTTTCATCATAGCTTAAGTACTCAGTCAAATCTTCTAGAAATTTTTTGATCAATTGACCATTTATTTCATCTACAAAGTTATTCTTTGTAGTTAAAATTGCTCTATTTTGTGAGCAATGCAGTTTCTTTGAAGAATCTTTAAATTCAGGATACACAATATTGATCAGCTTTTCAATTGCATCAGTGTCATTATTATAGTTAACTATAATTGAAAATGGAAGTTTTACCATGTCATTCTCATCTATTTGTTGTGTTCCATCTCAAATTTTTAGAAGAAACTGTGTGAATGAAGGATCTAATTTTGCTCTCATGTTCTCTATTAATTGCAATTTTTCTAATTTGTGCCATAATAGAAAATTTATCAAACATTCATTTATCATTTCAGCTTTTGTTCCTTTTCAAACAACTGGCACTGTTTGTCTAAAATCTCCACCAAACACAACTACCTTTCCCCCAAATACTTCTTCTGAATTCACTAAATCTCTTAAGAGATCATCTAAAGCTTCAATTGCTATTTTTTTAGACATTGGTACTTTATTCCAAATTATTAGTTTTGCTTCATTGATTATTGTAGCTAAAGAAGTTTGTTTACTGACTCGACATGTTGCACCATCAAAGATGTCTGTTGAAATTTTAAATCTGGAATGTGCAGTTCTTCCACATGGTAAAATGGAAGCTGCAATTCCTGATGTAGCTGTAGCAAGTGCAAGATGGCCTTTGGATCTAACATCAGCTAACAAAACTATGTACAGGAATATTTTTCTTGTACCACCTGGACAGTCAATGAAAAAACACCAAGTCTATCTGAGTAAATTCGCTCAGATATGACTATTGTGAAACCCCAAAATTTTACTTCTCTTTATAGCTCTTATTTGAACTTACTTGCCTTAGATTCTTGGTTGTTTTAATGGTTGAATTTGAGCCAAGGGAGTGAATTTTGTTAAGAAAAGTTTCATAATCTCAAGTTGTTAGAAAATCTAGAAATTTTTGTAGGAGACTCTGCGCAGCTTTGGAAAATTGGCTATAACTTCGTATAGGAAAGTCGGAATTGAGTTCCGTTTGTTGCGTTTGAAACTAGACTCATAGATCTTCCTATGGTGTAAAATTTAGAATTTGATTCAATCTCCATAAATTTCAGAAAATTGACAAAAATTGACTGAAAATTCTGCCCTGCACAAGTAAACATAGGAATGTTGTAGTAGTTTATTGCTCAATTTGGACCAAATTATGAGCTGAATTTCTTTGAGGTGTCTTCTAAAGATTATTAGTATTTGAAATCTAGTTTTTAACATGCTAAGTTGTATGAATTTTTTATATTTATAATTCAAGTTATGATTTTTCTAAAGGAATGGTATAAGTCAAGGGTTTTTGTGCATACTAGACATTTTGGTGTGTTTTTGTGAGAACCCGAAATTTTTTTGAATTTCTAAGCCTTATTTTCTTTCTCTGTACCCGTTTTCTACATTTTTGTTATTATGTTAACTTTAGAGATATTTTTATAAGTAAATACAGTTTTTAAATTATTTTTCTAGTATAAGTTAGTTCATGAGATATTTGAAGTGTATAGTGGACGTGGGACCCGCTAGTGCGTTAAGTGCGGTTAATTCGGCCAATTAGGTTAAGTTTTGCATTAAGGGATTAATTTACCAGGTGTTAGGAGATAATTGAAGGTTAGCTAGATTGATTTGTTAGGAGAGACAAAAAGATAAGTGTTAAACCTAAAAGGTGCTAGGTGGCGCGTTTTGATTGGAAGGTGGACTTTGACTAATTTCTTTCACCTTTACTAAACATGAATTTTGACCAATTTCATCTTTATTTTTCTTTCTCTTGGCCGAACAACATAGAGAGAAATGAGAGAAAATTCCTCAACTTTTGCCTTCTATTCTCTTGCTTAATCTCTTGATCCAACCATTTAAACTTCAAATTCCTCCGTAAAAACCTATTGCTATGTGGGATTGAAGAAGGTGGTGGAGTGGTTTTAGAAGTGGAGGTGCTAAGTTGCCATCTTTCTTGAGTTGTAAAGGTAAGGTGCTAAGAAATCTCCTTTTGTTAAATTTCTGATTGAATGGAGATTTTTCTGATTTTATGGGATGATTATGGTTTAGTCATGGTATGATAACTTGTTATGGTGTAAAATGGAGCTTGTATATGTTAGTTAAGATTGTTTGCGGAAAATTTCAGTTTTGTGCGGAAATTTCAGCTTTAGGGTTCCAATTTTCCCTGTTCTGTCCGGCTTTCTTTGAGCATGTTAGAGGCCGAATCAGGCTTAGGTTAAAACATGAAAGTTGTATAAAATGACGTTAACTAGCTGCCTACAAAATTTCAGCTCAATTGGAGCACTTTATCCTGTGAAATGACCGAAATACCCTTGACTGCCCATGAACCCTGTTTCGCGAACAGATTTCTGTTTTTGTGGACTTTTCCATTTTTGACCATGAAAATGCATGATTTGGCTTTGGAGGTCTTCATAAGAAATGTAGGTTTATGTTTTGACTTCGAAACGCCATAAGATTCGTTTCAATTCGATAAGTGTAGATTCAGTTGTGCTTATTGTACCGAAAGGTGTATTCTATAGTTTATAATGTGTATGTGGTTGGTTTGAGATGAATTGGTGTTGCTTGAAGGATGGAAAAGTAAGGAAATGTAGGGGACATGCTGTCCAAATTTTGGGAATGTTGGATTCTTTCGAGTTTGGTTTGATTTGGGATATATATATAAGATAGGCTTTAGGGGTTGTTCGAGCCCTAAGTTTTCATAATACCTTTTTGTTTCCGAAATCATGTTTTGCATACTTGCATGAGTAATTAGTTGGCGAGACCTACGACTTGTAGTCGAGCCTCATTTGTGCATTTTATTTACTGGAATTGTGGCTATGGGAACCATAATTATTTACCTTGGCTATTCTAGGGTTTCTTGGTGATTAGAGCTCTACCTTGGTTGAACTCTGCTTTAACTGGTAAGTGTACCACTCCCCTGAATTGTTGTTTAATTGGTTCATCTATACTTGAAATGTGTGACATGGATAACTATGAACTCTATTATTCTGAATGAGACTGGCGGGATTTTTTTATCAATGCAAGTTTAATTCCGATTTTACACCCGTTGGACTGCAAGTATACAGGTCGCAATTTGTAGTACAAGATGTGTATCGGGTCGATCCCACGAGGAGCAATTTAAACAATTACTAAGCCCTTGTTTTCTCTATTATTTAGATTTACAATTAATTTGAGCAGAGAAAGTATATTGCTATAGTCTACAAATCTGATATACAAATCTAGTTTAACAAATGCTGAATGCAAATAGAGAAATTTCACTTAAGGAAGATTCTAGGGATGTAGATTCCACTTATGGCATAAACAACACGAATGAATGGATTTACTTCTTGCTATTATTCTTGTTTAACCAGAGATTCATTTCCAAAGTTTCCAAGTCTCATTTTCATGATGAAATGGCCTAAAACAATATAGATTTCCCTATTTTCATGGTGAAATACTACTACTGCTCTGTTTTATTTCATGAAATGCTAAATAATCCACCTAAGTGTATCTCTATTTTCATGAACATACAACTCAAGCTCTACTCATGTGTTTCCATTGTTATTACCAATTCTCATTGAACAATAACAACTATAACCAAGCTATTGGTGATTAATCAATAACAAGTAATCACAGCTACACAAGTAGACAAGTTAATACAGGATATAACAAGTGTAAATCACATTCAATTCATATTATTTAGCCATAAGTATCATCTACTCCCTAGATAAAGAAAATCAGCTACTCATGAATGATTCAACAATCAAACTCACAAGTTTATTAATGCACAACATCATAAAGTACAAGTATAAGAAAGATAAAAGAAAGCTTAGCCAATTGAAGGTGAAGCTCTCCAATTCCTGCTATGCTCTTGCACAATATGATTACAAGTGAAAAACTCCAAGAATGCTTCTCCAAGAACTCCTATCTAGAGAGAAAAATGTTACAAGCAGGAAAACTAGCTACGTCTGGTCATCTCCTACTTCTCCCTTGTGTCTCTGCACAAAAGGTGGTAGAAAGGCAATATTTTCTCCTTCATGATTTCAACCACTTAGATTTTGTAAAGGAAGTCAAAAGATATATTGTTTTGACTTCTCAATAACTCATTTTGTCTTCCTTTTTTGTTGCAGAAGCATGCGCCACCGATTTCTGTCCCTCAAAATAGCTGGAAAAATTGTGAGAAAGGTAAAGAAAAATGGTTGTGCCACTTGCTGAGGAGAGAGACAGATCCGAGCCTCGGATCCGAGAGTGAAAATGGATCCGAGCTCGGATTAGTGGATCCGAGGACTTCCCATGATGGATCCGAGGTCAGATCGTTCTGACCTCGGATACACTCCTCCAGAAATACAGACGAGGGCTCGGATCCCTCCTGTTCACACGGATCCGTGCTCGGATCCGTGTTGATCAATTTTCCAGTTTTTTCACTTCTTTGCTTTTTCTATATTTTTGCTCCCAATTTCTTGTGTACTTTGTCCTCTGGATGACCCTTACATTTCTTTCAGCTCGTGCATGAATTTCATACTTCAATAACCTTCACAATTTCACAAAATTAACGCATTAATCCACTCATTTATCAAGTTTTGAACCCTTAAATAAAATTTAAGCAATTATCACCAAAAGAGTTCAAATATGACTTTAATCTTCTCAAAACATACCAAAAATTCATGCCAAATTTGTACAAAATGTACGTTAAATATTCACTTATCACAGACGAGAGTGTACTTTATCACACTCGTTCTCTTGCCCATACTGAATGAACTGGAATCTATTACTTGTACTTGTTATGTACTTGAACTTATTACTTGCGCTTGTTATGAGATCGTTTGGAAGTGTGTACAACGATCTTCCTGTTAAACATGACCTCAACCTCATGTGTAGTTAATTAAATCGAGTCAGCAAGGGCTTGGTCGAGGTAATTGACAATCCATGGGTACCTGTTCTTGGGGAATCTTTGGGTATTGAGACTCTTGATTCCGGTATACTCAAGTATTACCATTACTGTTCCTGTTTGGCGTTTGGGCCCGATAAGGGGTATGTTTGGTGAACGGAATTTTGGCGTAAGAGGGGTCTACGGACATGAGTGTGTTATTAAACGTTGACGGAGAGTCAACGAGGTTGGATCAAATATTGCAACGGGGATTTGGCTCCCGATAGCCACTTGTATCCTTTAAATGGTGGTGTTCGTTTATTTCTCT